AGGTTTATGTACATTGTGTAGTTATGATTAAAACCTTTGGAAAAGGTTTATGTCAAATGTTCTGTCAGTATGCTCTGAGGAATAGCGTTAGAATATCACCTTTTTATATTGCAATATTGCTCTATGTTTTCAAGCAACTTGCTAGTTCTTCTCAAATTAAGAGAAATAGGTTAACAATCCTGGGGCAAAAATGTGCATGTAAAAATAACCGATGAATAGAGTTCATTTGCAGGGCATGGCTCTTTCAGAGTGTAGTCAGATCTTAGTTTGATTTATATAATACAAGAGGAGAGCAGAACTGTATCACCTTTAAGGTAGTTTTCCAGTTGTCTGAATGCGGCTTAATTACTTTCTTTTATTTTCCTATTGACTTTGTGATCTCAGAGTACTCAGTAGATTAGTGTTTAGACCTAATTTGGTTGGCAACCACTATATTAAGAAAATGTCAGGACTTTCCTACAGTTCCTCTTTCCCACTTTGCATAAAAAAGATTTTGGGACAATTGACTTTATCTTTTTTTGCCCTGAAGAGTTGTCTTTTTAATTGCAATGAACAAGTGCTAAACTAATAGGAAGATTAGCATTAAAACAGTAAGCTAAAAGTCCAGAAATGTGGATTTTGGCTGTTTGTTGACTCACAGCAGTGTCCCTGGGCAAGTCATTAATTTGTTGTGACTCCCGTTATTCATACCCATACAATGGGATTTTGGATGCTTATTTTTCTGTGTAGAATTTCTGAGGAAAAACACTTACATAAGTGCTTGTGGCATTATATAATATGTGAGTTGTACTGTTGCCAGATCCTTCAGAGAGGAAACTTGGCTCTGCTGAACCCTGGTAGCACAGAGTGAAAAGATGTTCTGCTGCAACTACTGCCACCCTTTGAGTTCAAGCCAAAGTTGCTCTGTCTCCTTTCTTGAGGCAGTCCATCCCGATGAACAGATATTTCCAGCAGGTTTCCTCATCTTGTACGTAACAGTATGTACTCCTGCACTGAGGTTTGCCTGTGCCTACTGTTAATTATGTACCATGATTGCTTTCAAAATTGTCAGTTTCCAGTAGTTTAGAAATTCCATTACTTGTAATTTCTTTCGAATTCATGAAATCTCTGGATAACAATCCACAAATCCTTAGATATACCATTGAAATATAAAATGCATAAATGAAGATAAAACCAAAAATTAGTACTGATGAGGTCAGTGTTATTCTGCCTAATAATTCAGGACAGAGGGGAAAACCTCCTAACTTTGAATCTGCAGTGCACGAATTTCAGTATAATGCAGCAATTTCTGAGCTGTGATATTTATTTAGTTACTGAGTTACTGCCCTGACTGTAATGGTGATCTACAGCCGCATTAATTGCAATTAATTGGAAAATTTTCTTTCAAGTGTAAGCTGTTCCTTGAAGATTTTTCAAAAAAATACTGTCATCTAAATGAGATCAACTTATTTGAAAGCTGGAGCTGATACATGTCATTTGTCCTAGACAGGAAGACAAGTTCCTGTGTGTCAGAAACACACGCCTTATGCTTCCTCTTGCACCAAATATATTGTTCATTTTCAACTATTAGTTTTAGTTATCTTATTTATTATCAGATAATTAGCTTCAAAATACCTGTGGCAATTGTGCAATAGTACATTTTTTTTTTAATTTGTAAAATTTTCTTCTCTTGTTTATTTTTTTGCCGGGATATGAAACTCATTATTGGACTTTGCTTTCTCCTGTGCAAATTCACAATTTTGTCACTTTTTTTTTGTTGAAGAATAGTAGAAAAGGTTTTTTTTTTAAATTTGAATCTAACTGTTCTCTTACACGAAACATAACGTGTTTCCCACAGAGTCTTCATACAATTAGAAATGTTATTGTGGAGGCTGGTAGATCTTCGTGATAATTAAGGTTGTCAAGCTGTTCTGCCTTACAAAATCCTTCTTCTAGGAGCTTATAATCAAGTGCTTGTAATGTAAAAAAAATACTTATTAGAAATAGCAGCTTCTCTTTCTGGAGGGCTTTTTTTTCTTTTTAACCAGTCTGAGATTTATTTTATTTTTTTTTTAGCTC